TTTTCAGCGGGGCTGCCAGCCCCGACTCCGGTGCCTCTTCAGTGATCCGCTCCTCAGAGCTCTGTTCTCTCCAGTGGCGAGAAAAATCCTGAGGTAAGTGTCTTATCTCCTGGAGATCTTCTTTCTCCCTCACTTTCTCCTTCAGACGCTCTTCCTTTCTTCTCCCTTTTTGAGACCCCTTTCTCCTCTTTCTTTTCTTTTCCCGGAGCTTCTATCCTAATATGGTAATAGCTCCGGAAGCGGCGTTCTCCGGCTCTTTTTGCCGCGTCGCTGTTTACTCTTTCACACCTTCCCTATGTAAAGTCTACGCACCGTAATCCGTAACCGATATATGCAAGCGCATTGACACATTCATGTTGTGTTGGTGTTCCAGAAACCTCCCAGAATAGATTCAAACAGAGCTGGCAACCCTAGCCTTCCTGTTGTGAGGGGTAAGGCCCTTTATCTAGATCTTCTCAACAAACATTAACTCCTTCCCTATCACTGTAGTGGCAGGATACTGGTAGTGCCCTCATCTTCCCTTCTTTAACCTGTATGTTATGGGCAGAGGTGCCAAATATATATGGCCTGTGGGCCACATCCAGCCCACTGGACCTCTGGAATTTGGGGGTCATGGCCAGAGATCGCACCCTGCTGAAGAATCTAGGGCCCCCTGGCCCTGATGGACATGACAATCAGCTGCAGGAAGAAAAGTGAGGACAATACCAGTCTTTACAAGTTAGCCCGTGTCACGCTCCATCTGTTTTGCCTGTTACCACCATAGCAGCCCTACTTCTTTGGCTGCCAAACCTGCCACCATCCTATGCTTGAGCCACCATATGTAACATGTTGGAGGAGGACTGCTGCTGTATGCCCTGGGCTGAATCTGGCCCAAAGAAAGCGCTGTGGTTTGGATCCTGCCCGGGGCACAATGAAAGTTTGACACCTTGATTATAGGTGTTTTGGATATTGCTCCTGCAAGTTGCAGGTGAGGGTGTGAAGTGGCAACTTTGGGGATTCCTTTGGTTAACTAGCTCCTGCCATAGGGCAATTATACATGTGCTCCAGGAAAGGGGAGGCACTTTAATTAGAGCATCTCTGAGAGCTGCTCAAATTAAAGTGCCCAAAGTGTCTTATGTATCAGCATCCCTGCGCTAAAAATGACAGCAGGGGGTCTTTAACTAAAGCTCGTTCAAGCTGCCACCATTTTTAAGGACAATAATGCTGATATACAAGACACTGAAGTCTGCTGGAGCACCGCAACTACCATGCTCCAGCAGCCTTGATTAACTGAGCCTACTCCAATGCGCTGAGCACCCTGGCTGCTGGTGTACACATGCCCATAGTGACAGCAGTTACAATTCAGAGGTGCTCCTTAACAGGAGCTTGAGGGAGTTGGGACCTGGGTGAGCTCGGCTGGCTGGAGCCCAATGGCCCTGCCACGTACTGAAATTCAAGCTGGCTAGAAACCAAATGTGAAGTTGCCACACACTGTCAAGCAGGGCTGTCCCAGAGAGGGGCGGGGAATGGGGTGGCTGCCCTGGGCCCCTGCTTTGCAGGGGCCCTGAGGACCTGGGCCAGCTGCTCACCAGCCATGTCTGGGCCCCGCACTCTGCTACGATCGCCTCTGCTGTTAAGCACTAACTTCGTGGCTGGTTGGGTAGTGAAGTGGACCTTTGCACAGTGTGGCAATTACTTTGCACGTTCCAGCCGGTCTAAATTCCTTGCAGGACTCAACACTGACTTGCGTTACTGTGGCAGGGGAGACCTAAAGGCCTTCCCTGCTGCTCCCCACCACTCCTTGCTCCCCGCTTCATCTGCTGCCCAGCACTTCCCCCAGCCCTTCAGCAGGGACCATGCCTGTTCTTTGCTGCGCAGCCTGGCCCAGCGCTGCATGGACTCCATGGAGCTGGTCAGGAAGGCAGACAGCCTGGAGCTGCCCTCCTTGGTCCCCGAGTCCGGCATGGCCGGGCCGCAGCCGCCTCCGCCCCGCGCGGCAGTTGGGGGCCGCGTTCCAGCGCCTGTTGGCGCGCGTGACGTCACGGCCCCTGGAGCCCGGCGCGGCGCTTTCGGGACGTGCGCTCCCCGCTGCGCCCCGTGCGCGCGCTCTTGCTGTGGAAAGCACCGCACGGCCACGGCGGGGGGGCGGTTTTTGCCTCCATTCAGTAGTCCGCCCAGTCACTTCTTCATGCCGGTTTTAATAACCCTTCCCGGCGCTTGGCACCAACGTAGGTGGGCACAGCATTTCGCACTGAACACAGCAAGACAGCAGGAAAACCCGGTCCTCCCCTGCAGCTGGGACCCCTCCATCTCCCTCCAGTGTTTCAATTAAGGCCATTTCACTTTTTTTTCCCCTCTTCAATAAAAGGCTGCTTCTCAAACCTGTCTTGAACTGGGTTAAGAGTTAACGAGAAAGAAAGGTCTCATTTAAACCACAGTTAAACGGGGGAGTCTCAATGGAAACTGGTTTTAGCAAAATCCTAAAACGGCCAAAGGGAGAGCTGACACCTGTGTGCATTTAAAAGGCTAATAAGAGATCCCCGGCTCAACTCAAGCTAATCTGAATTTAATACATATTCACAGGAACACATGCAAGTACACAGGAGTAGGCATACAGATGCATCAATGTCAGGTCTTTCCAAAAATGTAAACTGGAAAGGCAAGTCTGATTTGAAGACTGGCTTTGATAAGATAGTCACTGGCTATTAGTTTGCAAAGAAGGGCCACAAGCGATGTTTTGACTAGCCACAGCCCTACCAAGAGGAACTGGGAAAGGCCAGCTGTTAGCAGAAATGTTGCTATAATATAAAATAAAATCAGGTTTTATTCCGTACACTTTTTCACCCTTTTTGTCCCCGAGATTTGTTAGAAACAGTGATGACATGTCTATGGCTATTCTGAGTTTTCAGAACTCCCCACTCATTTTCTATAGCAGTGGTTTTCAACCTTTTTTCATTTGCGGACCCTTAAAAAAATCTCAAATGGAGGTGTAAACAACCTTGGAAATTTCAAATGGAGGTGCAGACACCTCTGAATTGCAAGTGTGGGTAGTCACATGCTTTTGATCGAACATAGACATCTTTCACAGACCCCTCAGACACAGCCTGCGGACCCCCATGGGTCTGTGGACCACAGGTTGAAAAACACCACTCTAAAGGCTGAGGCTTCCCAGATGCAGCAACTGAAAGCAATCAGGTTTTCTAAGGAGCTTATTACTCACAAATGTAGCAGGTGTTCAGCAATTCTGAAAGACAGGCCTGATATGTCTGTTACAGACTAACCAAAATAGACTGTATATATGCCAAGGGACCCTGGAAGTCCCGCCTCTTCCTGGACGTTGACAGGTGGCCACCTGTCAATCTCCAGCAAGGGACAAGACTTCTAGAGCCCTCAGCCACCCAAGGGGGGGGGGGGGGGGGGGGGGGGGCACTCCTCCGGGAACCTCCCCCTCCTCCTTTCCCCACTTCAGGATGCCAGGGCTTCCCACCTCTATTTGCAGCTCCCATCCCCCATTATATTGCTTTTTCATGGTCCCTGTACTTCTTCACAGGGACCGGACTTTTTCACTGGGAAACTACCAATTCATGACTTCCACAAAGATCACAAAATCATGAATTTGGTAGGTCCTTACCCAATATGTCTGCACAAAGTGTCGTGCCAAATAGCATGGTGAGGGGCAGCAGCTGTACTGTCACAGAGGTATCTGGCCTGAACACCAGATATGCTTGCAAGCAGGCAAAGAGGGAGCATGTTATATTCCAAGGGCATCTCTTCTGCAGCTCAAACTGCCATACTAGCCAGTATCTTCCCCAGCATTTGCAGGCAAGTATTGCAGCTGCCTGTAATGTAACTAATGCCTACAGGGAATGGTGTCCTGCACTTCTCTGTAGTGTACCTAAACAGGAACAATCATGAACTCAGTCCTATGGATTTTTTTTAAGAGACCACGCAATGTTCACAAACACTAACAGCAAAGTTGTTAAATTTATCTGCAGCAGAACAGATTCCTTAGGATGTGGCCTAAAGTAATGGAGCACCTACTTTTAATTCAGGTAGAATTATTTCATTTAGCCCCCAGCTGCCTCTTCTGTCATGTATGTAGAAAGGAGGTTGCATCCATACCGCTACACCCCCTCTGGACCATTCTGTGCCTAGATCACTACATTCCCTTTATAAATTCACTCGTGTCCATATTTCATTTAATAAGATGATGCAAAAAAAAAAGTTTCAATAAAATAGCATATAAAAATTGTGCAGCATTTCCCTATTTTTTCCTTCAAAAGTACGGTTTTCTTTCCAGTTTCAACCTCACTACTTTTCTATAGGCACTAAAGTTGCTTGTGTTTCCTTCCAAACACCTGGGATTTTTTTTTTTTTTTTAAGACAAACTATTCTATTACTAGTCCTAGGAACAAGTTACCAGCTGTCTTCCAAAACATGCTGAGTGCAACAAAAAGCAACATAAAATGGCTCTGAAGAAAAGACCCCCAAACATTCTCCACTAACAAATGTACAGACCAACACAGCTTATTAACACAGTTGAAATCTACATTTCTTAATTTAAAAAGAGCTATGAACAATACAGTTACGGCCACAGGTGCCCCTATTCGCCTGGAGTAAACTAATTTATTCTGCAGCAGGACAACACTTATAAATTTATAAGTATTAAAAAAGTTTTCTTACTCCACAGCAGCACAAGTGTATGTACTGCCCCGGCTGGCAGGGGGACAAGCATGCTTCAGCGCAGGGGATGCCTGCCAGCTAGCCCTATGCTGAAGCACCCTCGTGTCCCAGCCAGCCCCTCTGCAGCATGCTGAGCCCCCCAGGGCCCCTGCCAGCCTGAGCTGCTCCAACCCAGCTCAGTGTGCTGCAGTCCTCACCGTACATTCAAATGGCACGCCCTCGAGCAATAAACTCTAGAGCAATAAGCGCATTAAATTGCATGTGTCGATGCACCCCATCAGTCTCTTTCACTGGCTATGTCACTAGTAGGTTTACAGGGCTACTTTTGTCTCTATTCACTAGAAAGACTTTGCTTTTTCAAAAAAAGAAAAGAAAAGCATTATAAAAATTGTATAGACTTATTTTCAAGTATCTTGGTAAATTTAAAAAACAGCATAGTTAAAATAAAAGATCCACCATAACAAATATGTACATTATACAAAAATACAAATTTTGCTTTGTAAAAAACATATATAAAAGGTATAGTATATATAATGCATTACACCATCAGTCATAGCTAGTGTATTTGAAGATACATTTTCTGTACTATGACTGGACTTTGGAGGTTTTATCTAAGGGAGGAAATTCCTCTGCTTCATCCTGAAACATCAGTTCTGAAAAAGAAAAAGAACACAATTTTAAAGACCTTCTACTTAAAAGCCTACAAACTATTACAGAATATTTTCTCCTGCTTTCCACTGAACTGCCTCATCTTCTGAAGATTTATATCAACACATATGCATGGCTATCTCCATCCAGCACCTGTTGCAATCCAAACCATAGCATAAATTATTTCAGATGGCAATTAATCCCACACAGTAGCAGGATCCCCCATTTAGTTTGAAGGCAATATTAAAAATAGAAAATTACAAAGCTTACTGGCCAAATGAACACAAGAAAGTTTAAAAAAATGCTAGAATCAAGAAGCATATTCTAGTTTGGAACTCAAACCATTCTGGGGTATGTCTACACTGCACACAGTACACTTCAGTACACTGAAGAGATATAAAGGACCAAAATGAAGTCAGATACTAAAACTGCATAGCTTTTGTAGCACAGAGCTCTGTGCAGGCTATTTAGGCTACACAGACTAATTAACAAGGCAAATTAGCTACCTGAAATACCATTATATTGTACTGCAGAGTGCAGTGAACATATACCTTTTGACTAGCTAAAAGCACACTTTAGTTTGGAAAAAACACATTTCAGCACATGGTTGGATCTATTGTATTTGCAGACACCCTTCTAATATAATCACGTGCTTTTTCAGTTGCAGTAACTTTTTTTAAGCAAAAAAAAAATATATTTAAGCAGCCTGACACTGCTTCTGCATGGCTCTGAATTTCTAGTCAACTTGGGATGGTTCCTGGATTAACTTTATCATTATTTTTCTCTTGACATTTCTGAGGCAATGTGCCTGGGTATTAGTTAAAACATGTGAACTTGGAGGAGAAAGATTTGGGTTCCAGGCAAAACTCTGCCAGTGCTTCCTTTACTTGGACAAATCAATGCAACCTCTTTGTGTGTCAGATTCTCCATTTTTAAGACATTTTCAAGAAGCAATACTATAGTTTCATAGTTTCTAGGGTCAGAAGGGATCTGAGCAGATCATCTAGTCCGACCCCCTGCCATGGCAGGAAAGAGTACTGGGGTCAAACTACCCCAGCAAGGTGTTCATCTAACCTCCTCTTAAAAACCCCCCTCAGCATGACCTCCCCTCAACAAAAGCCATGCTGCTTGTTACTTAATACCCAGCCAGTTTTGAGCTTGTGGTTGATGGCCTCCTTGACAATTTTTTTGAAGATTTTTCCCAGGACTGAAGTCAGACTGACCGGTCTATAGTTGGCAGGGACGTCCCTCTTCCCTTTCTTAAAGATGGGCACCAATTTGGCCCTCTTCCAGTCCTTTGGGACCACTCCTGAGTTGCACGACTCTTCAAACAGCCTTGCCAGAGGCACTGCTTAGAGATTGGCCAGGCCAGATGCAGGCCGTCTGGTCCAGCAGACTTGAAAACATCCAGATGTTCTAAGAGTGTTTTCACCTGTTCAGGACTGAGTTTATATGGACTGCTGTCTTCCCCGTATTCTCTGGGCATCTGGACAGGTGATGACTTCTCATCTGATTTCAAGAATACTGATGTGAAGTAAGTGTTTAGGAGCTCTGCCTTTTCACAGGGATCATCTGTGGGCTGCCCCTCTATATTCAGTAAGGGTCCAACATGGAGCTTGATTATTTTCTTGCTCCCTATATACCTATACAAAGGAATTTTTGTTATCTTCTAATTTGGTTGCCAGCTTGATCTCTATGCACGCCTTTGCTTTCCGTATCTTGTACCTGCAGACCCTGACCATATGAGTATACTCCTCTCTGGATGCTGCACCATTTTTCCATTTGAAGTACACTTCTTTTTTTTTTGAGAAGTTCTCTAATGTTCCAGTTGAGCCAAGTGGGTCTCTTGGACCCTTTCCCTCTTTTTAACCGCGTGGCGATGGCTACTTTTGGAGCAGTGAGAATCGCTGCCTTAAGGAAGCACCACCGTTCCTGAACTCTCAAACCATCCAGTCACTGGTTGCAAAGGGTCTTTCTAACTAGGCTCCTGAGTTTACCAAAGTCTGCCTTTCTGAAGTCTAGGACTTCTGTTCTGCTGGCAGACTTCCCAGCCTTTCAGTGGATGGTGAATCTGATCAGATCGTGATCACTGTCACCCAGAGTACTTCCAATGTACTATGCTATGTTACTTTCTAGCCAAAGATTTTAAAGACTGCAAGCTAGATTTTTGAGTTGTTACTCCACTCAAAACAAGCAAATGATACCAGAAGAGGGAATAAGGTAGAGCAGGTGACTGCAGTGCAAGAAGTTCTTAAATACTGTTAGAAAGTAATCTGAAAAAAAACATACCAAGGTGTCCTAAGTCTCCAAATTACTATCTAAGGTGATGGTCTGGCACATGATCAAAATTTATGAAACCTACATACCCTATGACTAAGTCAGTGGACTGCAAGGCTTAAAGGTGAAATTAAACCACCTCTGCCTCATGATACCGGTACCAGTGGGCACTAGTCCCAGTCCCTACCACAGCATATTAGAATACCAGCTTCTAGGATCTGCTTCCCAGTGAGAAAAGAAAAATGTGCTGGCCTCAGCAGTACCACGTAGTCTGGGCTTCTGCTCCTTTAGGTCAAGAGATTTCAGTACATTCTGGGATATAAAGTTTGCAAACATTTACTTCAGTATATAATTTGGTTAACATACAACAAATACGGCACTAATGGAATGGGAGGGAAAGCACCCAGGCTGCTGGATAAAAGACAGGAAGTTCTAAGGAAAAATTCAGAGCCTTCTCTTATGCTGAAAAACATGTTCCCTAAACTATAACCTGTATATATTCAGCTTAGGTCACTTGTGGAAAATGGGACCATAAAACAGTGCAAAAGAATTTTCTAGCATGTAAGCAGAATACATCATTTTCAAGTGCTTGATGAAATATTGTTTAATCAAAACTATTTTTCCTTTCACAGAGGAAAGGGTAGACATTTTAAAATGCAGCTTAATTCCCCTCAGCTAGGGCATACAAGCAGTCAGATATTATTGTTTAAAACACAGATATTTTTCTCCATTCTTACAGCATGCAAAAATGACCAATTATATCTTCAAACATTTTAAAACAAGTCATCAGAGACCAAACATGGATATTTCATTCCAAAAGTGAACACTTTGGAAAGCAATGGACGGAGAAGGAAAAAAAATGTTTTTTTGTTTTTTTGATCACTAATTATAGTAATGATATATATGCTTTGTTCTGTGCTCTGAAGACAGAACAAAAATGGAACTGGTGAAGCCTAAATAAAGGAACACATAAGTCTCCAATCCTCTTCTGGGCCTAATGTTCCTTACCTTCACTGTGATCTAGCTCTGGCTGGTATGATAAGATGACCCAGGACATCCCAACTAAAAGAGCCACCACCAGATTCACCACAATCCAGGGCTGAAGAATCTGTTCCAGAGTATCTGCCATCCTGAGAAAAGTATACATAATTATTAGTGAAGGCTATATGGATGCATGCATAATGTTATAATCACTTCTATAGTGAAACACACACCAAAGGATCAAATCAAATGCTAAATGAAATTATTTCATTCATCATGCCCTAAAAGTTCTGGGCTCAATGAGGTTGCTGTGGAGAATGAATGATGAAAGCAGGGACCCTCCCTACGTGGTACAAAATGTTAAATTACAGATTTCAGCAAAAAGCCTCTTTCCTTAGTTACGCAGCAAAAAATAAGAAGAAAATTAAATACAGTTTCCATCATGCTAAAAATTAACAATGTGCCTCAAGATTTCACACTACATCCTGGGTTTTTTAATATGTTTACTAACATAGCATACAGGGGGAAAGGCAGTGAGATAGCAAAATCTGCAGATAAAACAGTTGTTTAGGTGAGACAGGACCAACAAGGACTACAAGGAACTTAAGAGAGACCTGAGCTAGTAGGCAAGTCAATGACAACATGACCTACAAATAAAATACAATGTGAACATTTCTGTTCCTTCTGTCTCATCACACAAAAACAAAGACGCATTCAGTACAAACAGGAGAAGTTCACAGAACTTTTCACTTTTATTTTATAAATACTTTTTTGCAACAAAAAATGTAAACCAGTTGGTTCTATTAAGTCTAGGAAAGCTCAACAGGAACAAACAAACAATGAAAAAGAAAGTTTTTCTGTTTTGGAAAGATAGATGCGTTGCAGGCTATGTCGGACCAGTTTTGGGGAGGCAAACTCTCTGGAAGATAATGATTTAATTGGAAAATCTAAGGGAATAAGAGGTACTATGAAAAAATGTTTTTTTGCTAATGCCAACAAACCTATGTTGTAACTATGCCAACATGAGCCATCACCAAGCCCTGGGCTTAGCTTTACTGTATCTCACTAATGCTTAAAATAATTTTACTGTGTGGGTGGGATCATTCTAATATTATAAAAGCCTTAGTCTGTCTGTCTGTCCATAACACTTTATTCGCACTCTGATTGGCTGACTGAAACAATCAATCAGAGTGCTCCAAGAGTATTCGGACAGGAGATGGCGTGGACACAGGATGGAGCATTGGGGGAGGCTGCAGGCAGTGGCAACAGAGCAGGGGGAGAGTGGGCCCTTTCCCTCCCTCTCTGTTCCTTCCCTCCCTCAACCAGAGGAGAAGCAGAGGTGGGGCCGGATGCAGGTGGTTGCCAGGGCCCCGAGAAAAGTCAGCAGGGAGGGGGAGAGATGGAGAGGAGCTGGGGGGGCATGGTGGCAGTGCCCCGCTGCCACGCCCTGACAACAGCCCCGAGTGTGGGGGGGAATGGGCCCAGCCTAGAAGCAGCAGGGGCAAGGGTAGGGGAAGTGGACCCGTTCGCCCCCTCCTCCGACCAGATGAGCAGTGGGGGTGGGGCCAGACGTGGGACTCTGTCCCAACCCACCAGGATGGTGGGGAGCGCACCACCCCACTGTCACTGGGCCCCTACAAAAGCCATCAGGGAGGATCATGGTGACGGCTCTCCACCACTGCCATCACTGCCGCGAGGCCCTGCCAACAGCTGGGAGGGAAGCGGGGAGGCGAAGGGGGGTGGGGCAGGTGGACGTGGGCTGGGTGGACCAGGTCTGGACTTGGAGGGGGCGTGGGGGAGCAGGGCCAGACCCAAAGCACACAGGGGCGGGACATGGGCCTGTGTCTCCGCCCCTCCCAATCATTCTCGACTGGCAATTGGCTAGTTAATACTAGATTTTCTTATACACAAGACACACCCTTTCCACTCCAAAATCCAGCTGCTGGAAATTTGGGCGTACATTATAAATGAGAAAATATGGTAATAGCAGTTTTTGACTCTGTAGAGGTATGGGAGCAAAATTAATTTTGTAGTGCTGCAGGTGGAATTCCTTAGGCTACTGGCTGTGGACACTTTTCCTTTCCTCCAGCATGTAGTATAGCATCACCCCATCTACACATGCACTAGGTACGCACCAGTATTAGGACAAAGTAAATTAATTAACTCCACCAAAAGATAGTACTGTTGAGAACAAATTTTGCCTGGTCAGCCCTGCTGAGTTTGGAGCTGACCCCCTGTGTCCCCTGCCAGCCCAGGGCTGTTCTGCCCTGGCTCAAATTGCTGCGGTCTAAGCGCATGTGTAGACACTGCACCTGGAAGCAGTTGACTCCAGCTTGAATTGCTCTGGAATTTACTGCTGCACATTAATAGCACATGTAGATGCACCCAGTTACTAGTACTTTTCAGTGTTTTCCAGTCTTTTTCAGGGACATGTTGTATGTGAGAAAATACAGTTAGTGCTGTAAAAGTGTTACCTAATATACAGCTACTTGTTACAGTATTTTAGAACACTTGCTCAAAATTTTTTTTAAATTATGACTGGCCTTTGGATTTAATAAGGGAGTTTTAGCTGAATTCCTGACATAGTAAATGAAAATCCAATGAAGGGAAATTAGGATCATAATGGAAATAAAAAACCTACCATATGAGAGAAGGCTGGAAAAGTTTGGTTTGTTTCACTTAGTGAAATGAATACTGTCTAGAAATCCACGAAGGGGATAAATACTCAAAAGGGAGAAGAGCCATTTATCCTAAATGGCACTGTTGGCACAAACATACAGGTAATATACTGATAAAAAATGTATTTAGACTGGAAATGAGAAGGTTTCTAGCCATCTGGACAGTGAGGTTCTGGAAGGAACCTGCCACGGAGCAGTGAGGGCAAAAACCCTAACTGATTCTGAGATGGAGCTTGATAAATTTAAGAAAAGAATTACATGATGCGGTGCCTGCAATAGCAGAGACCTGGACTGTGACCCAGGAGCTCCCTTCTGGTTCTATATTCCTATGAAAGGGATTCAATGGACTTCGTCAGGACACTTGTTGGACAGAACAGAGAATCTTCTCAAGAAAAGACATTGGCACTTCCCTAATTTGTCTGCACATTGAAACAAAATGAACAAGCCCTCTCATGTGACAGGCCACCAACAAACAAATGTCTTCAGATAGCTTCTGAAATTGATGTCTCAAGACAATGCCAATAAGCCTGTATTTTTGTTTAGTACAATGCGTGCATTTGGTCAGCAAGACAGACTGTACCCAATCTTTGGCATTGCCAAGCAATCTTATTTCTCTCTGAAGCCATCAGGGACTCAGTTTAAGGTTTCAAATGCCAAAATACTAGGACAGGCTTAGTAACAGAAATGGCAGTTTAAGATATATAAACACATGTCCTTGTTAATCCACTGATGTTGTAAGAATTCCTACAAGGATATATGGAACTGTTAAGGATTTGAGAGGGGAAAAAAGTAATACTGTTCAGATTTCCTACCAAAGGCTGCCATTCTCTGAAGGTGGTGTGTAGAGGTTGATTCTGTCACTTGTCATCTGCTGGCTCAAAGACAAGATGAGAGCTGTGAAGTACACTGGAAGTAATGGAAAGAAATTAGAAAACATTCACTGGGTGGGACACAACATATTGTCTCATCCCAAAACAATGAGCATTACCATGCAGTCCCCCTTTCTTCACTGCTACTCCACTAGCTCCTTAGAATGTGCTCTATTTTATGAGCCCATTCTTCCTGCTCTTGAATACTCATCCCTAGCACCTTCAGTCTAGCTTCTGAACTCTGGACTTTACCATCCTGACCAAGGGCACTAGCAACCTGCTGTCTGCATCAAAGAGATATATCACTATTTCTGTTTTACTAACACTGTGTGCTGCATTCAGTAGGGTGAAAGTAGCATTATGAAAGGGAAAGAAAAAGGACTGAAAAGCTGCAGAAATCCCACAAATACTCACTCTACAGAAAGCTATACAATATTCAAAATTCTCAACCCACCCACTTAGCAGGGTAGATTTGAGAATGATTAGGGAAGAAGATCCTATAAACAGAAGTGGAAATTTCCCACTGAAGCTCAGCACTGAAAATGCATCCCAAGACACCTACATTCAGTAATTTTCTGCTATGGAACAACACTGCAGTCTGCTGAATACTCACAAAAAGAGGCTACTGCTGCTGGGTCCAGGGTAAGAAAGCCTTGCACTGCTCCTGATACTTTAGCCAAATCAATCCTGGATATAATAATATAAAGAAAATCTTTTATCAGATACTGAAGCAGGGAGAAACTGGCTCCTTGATGTGCTTTACTGCTTTATTAGCCATATTTGCAAAATGCCTCTGTATACATCCACTACGTTCCCTTAGTGCCAAAATAACAGTATCTGCATATGTATCTGCACACGCCCGCACACACACATACAGTTCATATAATGTTTCTTTATTACTGTAAAACAAAGTACAAAGTAACTGCAACAAATTAAGCAATATCCAATAGTACATTACATCCCAAGCTAAAGAAATGTCACAGAGCAAAAAAATGTATAATTACAGAAATGACTTGGAGAATAGAATGCACTCAAATTATACAGTTTACATAAATGCACAGGTATCTTACCTGTCAAAGGCTGAGACTGTACTGATAGTCAGCAACAGGTAAAAAAGACACTGTGCAGGATATGCTAAAGTCTTGTATTGTTGTAGCAGGTTTGAGAGAGCAGACAGCTGGCTTCCTGCTAAAAGGTAAATTACAATGATGTTCCACACAGCATACCCAGCAAGGAAGCCATGAGTAAAGAGGCCAATCACCCTGAAAAGACAATGTTAGCAAAGTCTTTGATGATAATAAACTGAGCAAAAGGTAAAGATTCAGATTCTCATAAAACATAAATGTGGAAAAGCCCTGCAAGATTATCCACTCCATCACCTTGACAATGCAGATTTTTTTCTAGTGCTTTGGCCAGGTGAGTTTTAAAAGTTCCAAATATTGAGCTTCCATCTCTTCCTCTGCTGAACATCTCACAAAATAATTTTATTCTAATGTCCAGAATAAACTCTATCTCTGATAGAGTGGTTGTTCTGTAAAATGAGGAAGAGCATTTTGTGCCCGAAAGCTTGTCTACCATCTTTCCCAATTATATAGTTTGTTCAATAAAAGGTATTGCCAAACTTCGTTTCTCACATACTCCCTGGATTGTCGTGACTACAATAGTACAATGCTTTTTTTTTCTTGGAAGCTGACATTCTTAGTCCCCAAAAAGTACTGCAATCTGCTAGAGGGCTGTCTGAGAAGGATTATACTTCATCATTAGAATTTCAGATAATCATTTCTGCATTCATCTATTGCTGAATCTGCCTGTAACCAGGAGCCAGAGGGCTCCTGTTACTTTAAAAGGAGGCAGCAGGCTAAGTTAGTTATGTGGGCCTGCAGCAGCAAGAACAGTTTAATTAAAAGGGGACACTCCTGCATGTGGTTGGGGAGCCACAAGACAGAAAGAGGGCAAGGCTCTGAGGCGCATAAACCCAGGGCCTGAGCCACAGCAGGCAGTCAGACTTTGCATGCTGCAGACAGAGGAGCTCCCCAGGGAAGCTGACTGCAGGGAGAAGGCCTGTGGAAACCCAAGCTACCCACAAGAGAGAGTGAGCTTAGCACTGGGAAGTACAGCTTGGGGTAGGGTACTGACCCAGAGTAGAGAAGGATTTTGTGGAAACAGTTTGCAGATATTTCTGTTATGCTGATATTTATGTCTGTTTAGCACTGGGGAACTGAGTTGTAGCAATGAGGGAGGTATGGAGGCCATAGAGGGGTACCTGGTAGGGCACTCGACATCAAGCAGCCTAGCCTTGGTCAGGGACTAGAGGGCTGAGAAAGCAACCAGCCTGGCCCAGGGTCAAGGACCAGAGGACTGAGGGTGGAAGAAGCAAGCATTCCAGCCTGGGTTCATGGACCAGAGGACTAAGGGCAGAGATAGTGAGAGCAGTCTGGCCTGGGATTAGGTACTCTGAGGGCTGGCCCAGAGTGCAGGAGACAGGAGCTCAGGAAGGGTGGGAGCACCTGCTTGGGGCCAGTGGCTCAGAAGCTGAGGTCCAGGACAGTGGACCTGGGGCTAGTAGGGCCAAGCTAGAGGAAAGGGTCTGAATCCCAACAAAGGTTCAAGGCTTGAGGGGCTGAGGCCCCCTGCCCCACCTCCAACCATTAAGTAACATCTGTGAGACCTGGGTGTGACCACAGGGATGGCTGAAGGTCACAATTATTCCCCCTAAGGCACAACTGGAGTTGCCCTAAAGGTGAAACCCACACTGTAGGGTTTGAGGCGGAGAAGCCTGGAAGATTGTACATCAAGGAAAAACACCTTCAAAGAGGCTACCCCAGCCTCCTGAGGCAGCCTCCCCAGTTAAAAGAACCAAAGATCAAGTCATGGCAGGTGAAAGATAGGGGTAAAAAGGGAGACAGGGGAGCATGGGCAGGAAGGTCTGACCATGAGGCTCTGTCACACCCTGGATGGATTGCCTGAGCCTGTCACACTGCCCAGAAGAACTAACAGGTTCAAGTTTACTAGGTAGAAAGAAGGTGCATACCAACGAGGCAAGAGTCCCACAGTACAGTCCCATTTTCTTATGTCAAACTGTTGAACTATTGGATACCTGAAACCCCGGTGCACTGAGAGTGCTACATCTTTGGTGGTCCATGAAGCCTTTACATCCATAAATACATCAATATTTTCTGTGGTTTTAATCAATTCAGTGCGGTCAGCTGCTTGGAAACGTCCTGAAGAGAAAAACAAAAATTGAATCAATTGTGGAGATCATTACTTCTTATTATGGCACTACAGAAATACATAGGCCTTGGCTACACTAGAAAATGTCACCAACAGAATTTCTGACAATATATTTCTACCACCATAGCTATTTTGGCCATGAATGCTGCTAACAGGCTGCCTTTGCCATTGCAGTGTGTCCTCACAGTATCAGGTTGCATCTGCAAAAAAGATGTAGGTATGCACATGCTCCATGTCCTCTGCATCTGGACAATGCTGGAAATGTTTGTAGAGACATCAGCGTTATTGTGAGACATCATCACTCCAACCAGAAAACAGAGACCAGAGCAATAATTTGCTCTGTTTCATCCTATAATCCACTCTTTTTAGTGGCATTTCTCAATCTCTTGGCCAACTTGCCAAAACAGACATAGGTGCTTTATAGATCAGCAGAGCCCTCTTGTCTATTTTAAGGGGAGGACAGCTGTGTTAGATTTGTAGAACCACAGGAATTACCATATCCACCAACCACACAGCAGATATATCATGGAAATGTGAATGATCAAGACAATGAATGAAACTGACCATCTGCTGCAGGCAGCCACTGATTGAGGCCCATGAAACAAGCAATGCGTTGTAAGCCTGGACTGAGACACAAACCTGGGAGAATCAGCACTGACTACAGGTAGGGGTCTACTTAAATCACAGTGAGACTTACCAATCTTCACGAGTTGGTTACAGCATAAAGAGCAAATTCCGCAAACACTTTGCGGATGTGCTCTGGCAGCCCTGCCCTTTGGCACTGATTGGTGAAGAGGCCGGGGAGGAACAAGGGGTGGCTGTCACGTTGACTGCTGGCTGCCCTTTATGTGGCCCCAGCCCTCGGCATGATTGGTGGAGAGGCCCCAGCAGGGGAAGGAGGGATGAGAGGGAGGCCACCATCTTGTCTTCTACACATGCCACCCTGTCAGCCAGCACCTTCCCCTCCCTGGGTGGGCAAGGCTGGGTCACAGCTGCAGTGAGGACCACTGATTCCCACTGGGGAGCCAGCATTTTATTTTTATTGAGTTTTTTTTTTTTTTTTTGTTGATTTTACGGACAATCCTGGATTTCGTGGTTTCTACAAAATCCATGAAACCACAATTTAAGTAGACCCCTCTCTATAGGAGCCCATATTTCTGGAGTCACGCAAGAGCTGAGCCTCAGCTCTGCAGTAGAGACACAAAAAAATGACAGCTGCTTTAGCCAGAGGAAAAAGGTGGTGTTCCTTTGGGGGCTTTCAACCCTACATTGCTATCAGTATGGGAGCAAGCTGATTAGTACTAGAAAATTTCTGATGAGGGTAATGAATATCCAGGCATGCAAGGGCACTAAAGGGATCCTGCAGCACAAGACTGACTCTGGGCAGTTTTGCAAAGTGTAGACAAGCTGCATGTTTGGGTGTGTGCTCTAAGCAGCTGCAAGCCCTGCTACCTGAGTGACTGCTGGGTGACCCCTGCCTGTGTCTGACAAAAGCCCTACCAAGGGGGCACTCTTGGGTGTAGTTTGTCTGATCCAGCTGACTTATAGTCCAGGCCCAGGAAGGTATGAAAGAAGATTTCTCATGTGAAGGCAGCTAACAACATACTGGGCTGTATTAGTAGAAACACTGCCAGCAGATCAAGGGAAGTGATTATTCCCCTCTATTTGGTACTGATGAGGCCACATCTGGAGTACTGTCTGATTTTGTACCCTCCTCCCCTCCCCCCACTACAGAAAGGTTGTGGACAAATTGGAGAGAGTCTAGCAGAAGGCAACGAAAATGGTTGGGGGCTGGGAAGCATGACTGCTGAGGAGAAGCTGAGGGAACTGGGCTTATTTAGTCTGGAGAAGAGAAGACTGAGAGGGGATTTAATAGCAGCCTTTAACTACTGGAAGGGTGGTTGCAAAGAGGATGGAGCTAGACTGTTCTCAGTGGTGGCAGATGACAGAACAAGGAGCAATGGTTTCAAGTTGCAGCAAGGGAAGTTTAGGTTAGACATTAGGAAAAACTGTATGGAACAGGAGATCCAGAGAGGCTGTAGAATCTCCATTCTTGAAGGTTTTGAAGACCCGGGTAGACAAAGCTTTGGCTGGGATGATGTAGTTTGGGATGGTCCTGCTCTGAGCAGGGGCTTGGACTAGATGACCCTGCCAACTCTAATTTTCTATAATTTCTATAAATGTGAACACCAAGGTGTAGGTGAACAAACACTGCCTGCCGATTTTAAGCAGTTTGACAGTGGATCAGAAACTCATGCTCTAACTGAGGTGTTATGTGGCATTAAAACCACACGCTGGCAGTATGTCACAGCCAGACAGCAGGTTATTTGTGTTAAGTCACATACAGTAATTCACTGCTTTGTATCTTCTGTGGTGTGGGCAGGTATTGATTAGAGGGATTTGTGTCTTCGCACAGGAAGGCCATTAAAGTATCGTGGATTTTGCAAAAGAGAAATTTTATTTTTCAATTCCAGACAACTAACAACAGCAAGGTGCTCTGAACTGCCCCACAGGTCAAAAGTCAGTAGACCTAGACAAAGAAATTTTCCCTATTGTCCACTAGGTGAGGTAGAAAGGCTACTGCTACAAAGAGTGCTGCATCCTGAAGGGCATGGATGGATGGTCCCAAGGAGCACTGTTTTCCATAACCTTTGGGTGCTTTGGTCCACAATATGTTCCAATCTGTGAGTGTCAGAGGAACTGTAGGACACCCTGGTGTATCTTTAGGTTGTTCTGTCTTTCATCCAGTGCAGTCCTACCCTCCCAGGTTGTAGAGATTCTGCAGTCAACAGCTTGGACCAGTTCAGAAAATATCTTTTTGTGTCGTTGTATCTTCTTTGTTTCTTTTTCTCCCTTACTGTGGCAAGTCTCTTGGCAGGTATAGAAGGGATAGTCTTGAATACCCCCCACCCCCAAACTCACAGACAAGTAACTGAATAGATGGCCACTTTTAGGGATTATCGGACAACAGAAGATAATGCACCTCCTCAAAAAATTCCTGTAAGGACTTGCATCAAAATGTGCACAGGGTCACAATCATTACTGCCTTGTGACCATTTAAATAACAAACCTCAGAGAGTATATGGAGAGACTTTTAAAACTCTCGGCTTAGGAGATCTGAGAGGCCTGGAATAGCAGAGGTAAAACTGATGAATGTAAAGTTAGGAGTGATTCTGGTAGATATAATGCTCATAGGCATATCAAAACCCCAGAAAACAGCAGCCGTTTGAAGGCACATCATTGCTCAGGGCTATGTGCTGATGGTTTCTTCATAGCAAGATTCCCCAGAGGTCCTAGCCAAGCAGTATAAGGAAGATATCATCCACTAGTGGAAGAAACAAGGCTATAGTACTAGGAAGATCTGGGCAAAGTGCCAAGACCCTGACAAGTTATGTAACGCGGTCCCAGAAGCCAGGAAGCTGCGCCACGCCAAATAAGTGGCGTTCCCCTCAAGAAGTGGAGGGATTCTCTGACTGTTGGATTAAGAAATGGCAACCTCGAAACCAGCGTCCCAGGGTACAATAGGAAGCCTTCTCCGACACCAGCCAATGGACACATTATTCCACCGCTTACCAGAAAGCCTAGGGCCTGCATTGGCAAGCTTAGTTGCCTGTACACTAACTCCAGAAGCGTGGGAAGCAAGCAGGAGAAACTGGCCCTCACACTAATCAAGAAGCAATACAATCTTATAGAGATCACAGAGACCTGGTGGGACTTCACCTATGACTGGACTACAGCCATAAGGGGATATACCCTGTACAGGAGGGATCATTTTGGAAGAAGGGCAGAGGAGTTGCTGTCTATGTAAAAGAACATTACACTTCCCTTGAGGTGAAAACTGGATGCAAAAAAGGGCTTGGCACCCTCTGGGTCAAGATATGGGGAGAGTGCAAGGAAGGAGACTTGATCGTAGGAGTTTATTACAAACCTCTAAACTAAGAGGAACAGCTCAACCAAGAATTCTCTAGAGAACTGGCAGAGGCTGCCTGCTCGTGGAGCACAGTCATTATGAGTGACTTCAACTACCCAGGCATTTCATGGGATGAGCACTCAGCTAGATCTGATCACTCACAAAGCTTCCTCACTTGCATCGAGAAGCTCTATCTAACTCAGGAAATCTACAAGCCAACCAAGGGCAAGGCACTCCTAGACGTCATTTTGGCCAAAGGGGATGATCTAGTGAGCAACCTGCAGATTGAAGGGAAACTGGGTGACAATGACCATGAGATGATCACTTTCTCCATCCACCTCAAGCTAGGGAAATCAGCCAGCAGGGTATAAATCCCTGATTTTAGGAAAGCTGATTTCCACAAACTCAGGAGGCTGGTTGGCAAGGCTTGTCGGGACCACAGTTCGAGGAGGAAGGGAATACAAGAAAAGTGGTCTTTTCTTAAGGATGCAATCCTAAAATCTCAAAGAAAGTCTATTCCCTCTTGCAAGAAGGCAGCAAGAAAGCTGGGAAATACCCTTGGCTCAACAGGGAAGTCATGGACCTCCTGAAATTAAAGCAAGAAGCCTACAAGGGATGGAATTCACGAACGAATACCAAAGAGGAGTACTCAGCAGATACCCGCACCTGTAGGTAGCAGATCAGGACAGTAAAAACACTAACCAAACATAAATTGGCAACCAGAATCAAGGACAACAAAAAGTCCTTCTTTAGATATGTAGGAAGTTGCAAAAGGAACGAGGGAAGCATAGGGCCCCTAATAAATGAAATGGGATGGCTATTAACCAACACCCAGGACAAAACTGAACTCTTGAATGAATAATTCACATCGGTATTCCACCAGTCCATGGCTTCTTCATGGGCAGGTCGTGCTCCTTGGTCATCGTCTGTGACGTGTGTTTCTGTAGTAGCCATCCCCATTATGGTAACATTCACCACCATCCTGTGCTTGTGTATACTGTCTGCTTTTGGTGAGTACCAAAATTGTCTTGTAAAAGTGGTAGAAATGAGTCTGGGGGTCAGTATATTTGAGGTCTTGGA